TACAGATGTATTATTATGGCTGCGCTATTCGAACTAAGGGATGTGGGTCCTTGTGGTTTGTATTTTATTGATGTAAGATAGTTAGGAAGAGTCTTAAGTGCTACGGACCTGGCACTGACTACAGCCCGGTCGGCAAATCTCAGGGATCCGGCTAGGATCCGGACCAAGACCTAATCCCACGGCTCACCGCTTGCTCTATAGTCCACTAGCCGCTAATCCCACTGGCTCTAATCCAGCCGGGCTGACCACCGTCTTAACTAGGGCTCATATTGCCTTCCGGTCCTTTGTTCCAGCTCCACTGATCAATATTGCAACCTTATTAAATAATAAGACCAACTATAATAACAGTGTGTCCGAGCAAAGCTTCACCTATACAGGATTAAATCCAAAGGCAAACTTCTAAAACCCTTTCTTAAGACACCGATTTGCGATCGTCGGTGTTGTTGCGAAAAAACTGCTTGGTGCATCAAGCCCCAGAAAGTCGAACACTTTTGATACTTCTCCAGCGAAGCAAGCCATCTAAAGGCACTTTACAACTTTCATTGGTACCTAATTTAGGTAATTGCATATGGAGGTTGAAATAAGTTCACAATTTACAGGCAACATATTTGCGCGTAACATACCTACAGGATAATTTTTTTCGTGCGTTGAATGTTGTTCAACTAGCAGTCTATCAAGCAAAATGTCACCTTTGCATCGAATTTTTGTAACAACTTGTCGACTTCTCAATACTATAATTATCCCACTAAAAATACATAAGTGGTTCACTTACGTAGTTTTACTCGAACATTTATTAGCGCGATTATCTGACAATTAGCTCCAAATGTTTGAAAATTGACGTGGATGCACGCTGACTCGTAAATTGTAAGAAGCGACTCTCTAATTTCCACAAAATACACTTTTCAAGAGGTATTAAACCGCTTAAATAATCAAGAACGTTTAATCGATTTGTATGTTTGTGTTAATTCAGTTTGTTAAAAAAAGAAACCGTTTACGTCAATTTAGTTATGGTTATCGTAGTAACGAGAGATTAAAGTAATGCACATAATTAAATAAAAGGACGAGTTCAATGTATTTATTTGCTCATTAGTGTTAATCCGATCCAAGATATTTTTGATTTGCCAATATCACCTGGTATCTGGAGGAACAATTTAAAAAGTAGCCAACAAAAATATAATTAAAAACCGTCGTCTCCAGGAGTTTCCCTAGGACAGGTGGTTAGCATCTTGTGTATAAACTGCAAAAAACTGCATTTTTCAAGCGATGGCCCTTGGGGTTCAGATCTCAAGACTGTAATTCTTTTTTAGAAACAAATTGGTTTTTGGATGTCCTAATTGAGCTGTATAAATTTTAAAAAACCTTCACAAGAAGAGCCCCAGCTTTTAATTCTTCAAAGCAGGCAAGAAGTGTAGGTATACATCGTATTCCAAAAAATACTCCGTTAAATTTTGAAGGAATTTAGACATAACTTCTTCTGAAATTCATTGCATATATTTGTGTATAATCGAAAACATGTCAATCTTGACAAAAATAAAATAAATTATATTAATGTTTTACTTCGATTTAACTCATAAACTTCTATGCCCACATCTATTGCAATGTCACTGGCGATAGCCTTTTCTGCCCTTCAAAGTAAACATTAATTACCTCTCACTTGACACAGCCTAATTAGCAAAGTGGGGTTTGCGATAGATAAATCGGAGGTAATTTGAACATTTATCCCAAACTGCAAGATGATCAATTACAGCCAGTGGCGTGCTCCATAATTTTCATCTTCCACGCAAATGATTTGAGGATGGTCTGATGATTTGCATACTGAAATTGACTGAGCATGCTTTAATGTCCGCTTTAATTTGATCATTGTTTTAATAATTAAGAAGAAGCGCTACTGACGAGTTGACGCTGTTGCATTTGTTTACAAACGCAACCCATTAAATAACCATATCGGAAATGATTTATCTCTTAGCTTGATAAACCACCATTTCAAGTGATGTATTTAGACCAAGAAATACTTGGATTTAATAAAATAATGTAATAAAAAATAATGAGTGAAGCAAGATCCAATAAATTTTGTGTTGATTTAATTAATTATGAGCCATAATCCCTCTAACTACAAAATCCTCATGAATGCCAGTCGTTATTATAATCGTGGCCAGGCAGAGTTCAATAAGAACAATAGCTTTGCTCAGAGTCGCACTAAGGCACTTGTGCTCAAAAGTATTTATTTTTGAATTGAACTCACAGTAAATCAAAGTGAGTTAGTACTAGGTATGAACGGTTTTATTGAGAATTTTTGGAATATCGGAAATTCCAGAATGTCTGTTTAATTAAAACGGACGGTTTGATCATTGAGGTTTTTCTAGTAAACTTGTCGTGGCTATTTTGCTACTAAGCTATAATTCGTTCAAAGCCCTGTTTGTCCGCTCTTTGTTGCTGTTGCCTTTCCTTTTCACTATATTTTATATACACGCGCAACGTGTAATAAAATGTAAAAATATAAAGAATCAGATACATCAACAACATTGGAAACCGTATTTACGATCGGACGAAATGCGGAAAAGGGGTATAAAAGCACTTGAAACCGATACTGTAATATTAGCACGTGTCGTAAGAATGGGGTTTATCGGATTGTGGATGACGGCCATGGGGCCAAATCCGCCCGAGAGTGCGGAATAAAGCTCGCGGCCTGTTTGTCTAGACTGGCAAAGAAAAGATGAAAGACCCATTCGAACAGATAAGCACGCACTGGTGGATTAGGTCAGTTATAGATGCACGTTTCAGCTTGATTAATATCGCGTAAACAACGTTTTAAATCAGGAAATTGTGTAACAAAGGCACATTATCGAGTGATCCAGAAGCTTCGCAATATACAACAATGAGCTTCACTTATTAGTTGAGAATTTTAATCGGCAAATCAAGCAGTTCGAAAAAGCACCCTCTTACACAGTAAATTAGTCTTGGGAATCCACATCGCCGCAGGCCTTTGATAACTTCAATAATGGACCCTTAATGAAGTAAGCGTAAGAATTTGAAGGACACAAAACCCCTGAACGCGCCATATTTTACGTGAAAAGGAAATAAGGAGGCCTCCGCTGGATGGCTCCATTAACTGTCATCTGTTCACTGCTATCAATTGATCTGTCTGTCTGTCTTCCTTATCACTTTGTTACTTTTCCGCTTTACACGTTCGCATTAAATTGGTTACGGCTTAAAACACCCAGTCAGAGACGTTCACTTTTTTTCAACCAAATCACTTCATGATTAACACAAAGAAAATCATTCACTCAATTCACTGCCTGTGAGTATGAATCAAACATCTGAGAGCAGGAAGCGAAAAAATATTCGTCGACAATTTGCACATGCTAAAAATTCGATAACTTAGCCGGAAAAATATACCCAGTTCAATTGGACAGATTGATACCGAATGTCTATAAAAACTTTTAAAATGTGAATTACTTTATAATTGGTATACTGAACTGCTAAGACAAGAAGTCGTATCGCAATTTTTCACTTTTTCAGCTTATGCAGAATACTGATACAACAGAGTTTGTTTTACCTCCCAGACAGTCTGGAAGTCGTATCATCATTAGAATACGGGTTTTCAATGATATTTATATGTCCTATCTGCAAAAATCTACCAGTTACCAGGTCAAAAAGTCGT